TCGCGCATCGCTACGTGGCACTGCGTAGATTTATCTTGCAAGATAAATTAGTTAGGCTTGGTTAGCGGCCGTGTAAATGATGTTTGTCTGTGTGCGTGCGTCGATTCGGGCGCTAGTATGAAGTCGGAGTACTGCTCTTGTATGTATTGTGCTTATAGCCTGCCTGTTGGTAAGCGAACACCATAGCCTAAAGACGCTTGCGATACAAAAAATATCACTCGCGCTGTTGCTTAACCTGACCATGGGCTACGTGTTAAGTACGTGGCTCCACGGGATAAGGGATGGCCATTACCCCGAGGAGCCCAGTAACCTTACTCACCGACAGAAACACAGCACCACCAAAAGGTAGTGTTATTTTTCAGTGGGCCTCTGTAAGGTGGAGGTTATTTCTCCAGACGAGCGCTCTTAAAGAGCTCTCACGAAATAACCGAACTTTTATCAATTAGTCCCTATTGTCTAGTCTAAGCCGCACTAGTTGTCAAAATGAACTGACAGATGTGATGGGGGATTCGCCGCGTGTATGAGCGAGCGCGTGGCATTCCGTGGATTGTAACCTTGTGATGTGGTTGTGTCTATTAAATAAAGATAATTTCTGAAGTAAACCGAGTTATAGCTAACAATAAAAAACGTGTGGAAGACGTGCAATGAATTAACATATTTCAACATTATCGCCCTTTACAGTAGTTTATTATCAATCATTATTTTTATTAGACATATTAAGAAACCTACCAAAACTATATGATTTACTAAATACAAATTAAGTAAAAGCTGAATGCACATAAAAATAAAGGCCGCGTGCATGTGGAATTATTGGAACAAAAAATGTAAAATCACTTGCAATGGCAAGTTTTCAATTCATTGTTTAATGTACAAACTGCAGTGTAACTTTACATATGAATTTATGTTTTTTTGAATTAAGTTAGTTAAATTTATTTTGGTTCCTCACAAATAAGGAAAAGTGCTTAGTTCCTACAGAAATTTTGCAGAATATATCCTTTATAAATAGCTTGGAAAGTTCTTTAATAAACTTTGTCCTTTTTTATTCAGTTTATTACATTGTTTTAAAAACACGATGACAATTCACTCGGCCTACAAATGCTTTGTTGCAAGCTTCGCAGTTAATGTACTTATTATTCACAGTCTGGTTTAAAAAGTATTATATCGCTAATTTTGGATTTCCGCAGGCTACTTATATTGGATTTCCGATTTTTTGATGTATTAATACTCATGTCCATGACTTATGCTGGCAAAGTCGGCCATTTTAAATATTTGGTTAATTTCCGACAGCTGTTTTCCCTGGACGAGTTTTAGCCCATGTTCGATTTTCTATTCCTTATAGATTTATAATTACCGTTTCTATTTCTTTTTTTTTGTTAGAAGACAATTAAAAGCGCGGACGTATTCCGATTGATGATTGTAAAGTACGGTGAAGCTACTTTGGCCTTCCTTAACATTTGTCAGCGCTATAAAACTTTCTCAGAGGGCCGAGATGATGTCAATGTCAAAAAGCGTGTAGTATGCAAACAACAGACGAAAATACTGATAAAAATAAAAAATAGTATGGATCAATCGTCAAATCACAATTAGTTGGACATTTCGATTAGCTCGCGTCTTTCGATTGTTATCATTGATTTTGGGCATGAGACGGGGCGCTGCGGAATTCTTACCAAAATGGTTCGATTTTCAATTGCTTAAGCGTTTGGGGAAAAACAAAACACTCATTAATGATGCCACAGCCACCCGTATTCCCCAGATTGCCTTCTATGCCTTTTCCTGTTCCCAAAACTGAAAAGGCCCATGAAAAAAACGTTGCTACGCCACGACGAAGATGATAAAGGCAACACCGAAGGAGGATCTTAATAACATCACAAAGCACGATTGACAACATTTGCCAAATGATAACTTTTTGTTAAAACACATAATTTGCAATAGGTACTTGAGAACAGTCCTCGTATACTTAGGTACTTATTGTTAGATTTTCCCCATGGTTTACTATAAAAAATGCAGTTTATTATATATGGTATGTTTACACACTACTTATGTCAATACAAAATAGAATATATATAATTCAATTCATTTCAAATTCATTTATTTCGACCAAACAAGGATCATAATCATAATCATTATACATTAAATATTCAATCACATAAATATTACACTAATCATAATAATAATACAAAAAATATCAAAATAATTCCAATGGACACTAATTAATGAAATTTATAATACAATAATAATCAAACAATTAAATACAAAAACTATAGTCCTAATTAAACTTTGTTAGTTAGTACATGTATCATATAACAATGGTTCATGTACTGACAGTCAAAACGTTCCGAAAATAATTTCAGGGTGGTGTTCGGGCTCGCCCGCACCCTGTGCATCAGGAGGCCTACTCTATTTCAACGAAAAATGAAATTTCAATCGAAATTTCGCACGTTCCTTACTCTGTTTCTATTTCATTTCGAAAATTCGTTCGTCCGAAAATAGTTTGACATTTAAATTCTCTAAGCCTACTCTACTATTCTATTCACAAAACTTTTGAACTAAAAGTTGAATTTGACAGATAATAATTGTTCGAAATGTTAACCTCAAATATACGAAATGAAAAGTGTTACATTTTCATTTTTGTTTTGGGATTTTTGTTTAAATTAAACCTAAAATTACTACTACAGTATTTTTAATTAAGGCTGCTTAGCGTGAGGAACATATTCTAGTATGAAAAAATTACAAATAAATCAAATTTTGGTTTATTATTGTATTGCCAATACTTCAAAGTGGTACACGACAAATTTAGGTTAACATACATTCGATTGTAGAGTTGAAGAACTCTACAAATTAGTCGCCTAACACTGTCAAAAGAGGTTTTTTTGATGTAATCAAAAATGTTGTCATATAGTAATATTGTTTTGAAGTAAAAAAAACGTTATCTAAAAAGTGTAGACAAAAAGAACTCACAAACATAACTCATTCCATTCCTTCACGATAATTGTCTGTGATTCCGAACTTTAGGTGCGTGTTCGAAGATGAAATAGAGTAGAATCACTGACGAAATTTCGTTTAAAATTCGTTCGTTGCTGAAATTTCGTTTCGGACAAAGAGAGTAGAGCTCCTAGGATGCACACCGCTTGCGCGTGGCTGTAAAATAACAGGCCAATCTTGCGTAATTGAGTTCCAAGTTAGTTGTTTGCCACGTCTTTTATAGGTATGCCTTTGTATCTTGTCAATATTGACACTGACGTCTGGTTTTATGGGTTTACTTTTACGTAGGTTTAAGTACCTATCACCGAATGTACTGGTACCTATATCGAATATATTATATTTACACAAGTGACATGTGACTAAAATATACTTCCATTGTTATAGAAATAATTAATGATTATCGGTAAGTTTTACAAACTGGCTGAATTATTATTGATATGTATGTATAGTATGTGCGTGCATACTTAATACCTCAAAAGGCGCGTACCACAGATATGTTAGGAATTACCATCGAAATCGTGGTCATTTGATATTCACCTCTTCACTTAAAAGACCGTAAAAAAAGCTTACAAAAGAAAATTTTATCAGAATATATCCATAACTTCGTAAACAAAAAACAAAAGCTTACAAAAGACATTTTTATCATAAAAATCGACATAAACAAAAACTTACGCAAGTTTTTTTTTTGGAAAATCGGTTCAGGCGTTATACAGGATTCGAACATACACTTTCCGCTCTCCGGACTGACACACTAACCGATAGTGCTATCGAGAACTTAAAACCATGTCGAATTCTTCAAGTATTGCTTAAGCTGCAAAACATTTCTTTCTAGTAATATTTTCATTAGGTTTATAATCATCATCATATTAGCCATACGACGCCCACTGCTGCGCATAGGCCTTCCCCAAGGATCACGATCGGTCCTGCGCGACTACCATCGAATAATTCATAACCTTACAGTTAAATTAACGAAAACAATATATCCTGAGTTAAATTCTTAAAAAAGTTTAATAAAATGTTAGTAGTAGGTAGTACATACTTTTTTTTACCGGGAATATGATCAAAAATACTGGCAACTAAATAATAATTCATTAGGGACTTGACCTCGAGTCTAACAAACCTTTTTAAATACGATAAAACTCATATATATTTTTGGTAACCTTTCCGATGACTGACTATTAAGAAAACTGCTCTACTTCCACAATCAGCGAACCATGCGCTATGGGGCTCCACGATATTAATTTCTACATATTATGATAGCGCAACGAAACGATCCGAATTGGGTTTTGGCCGCCGACATTAAGAAGTATAAAATCCCATAATATTAGGTAAAGTAAATACATAAAGGGTGGAACTCGATGGCGCAGATGTACTAGAGCGGTTGTTAACGGACGGTTTTTTGCCGGGTCTAGGTACAGTTTTAAGCCGTGTCTATGTCCGGACACACACACTATTGAGGTTTGTTATCGATATATAAAAGTTTGGGGTTGGTAAAAATGTACAAACCGTGCTCGTGAACAAGCTTCGCCGACACCAACCCGGTCAGGAACAGGATAAAAATCGTCGTGTTAACAAGCGCGCTCAGCGTGTTCGGTCATGTAAAGCAACTTTCACAATGCCCAGTCATAGGATGGGTGACCAAAACCTTTTTTCTAGAGCTGTTCCGTGCTTTTGAAGGTACGTAAAGACGTTAGTCCCAATTACATCAACAGTCGTTAGCACCCACCAATATTTGACCCGCATGGTGGATCGTGGCCCAGTCTCCGTATCCCATCCGTAGTAAAGGCCAGTGCTACAGAAATGGGGACATTAATAGGCTGATAATGATGATTATTGATCGAAGGCCTGTTTGGCTTAGAGGTTAATGATCCTAACCGCGATGATATATTATTATACCTTATAAAACCTTCCTCTTGAATCCCGCTATCTGTTCTAGTTTAAAAGATCTAAGCGTAGAATCTGTTCTAGTTTAAAAGATCTTTGTTTTAAACCTAGTAAAGATGATAGTTATTTTTTAGCATGGGTGAAAGCAACCGCTTTGGAGGCAGCTGTATGGTACACGGGTCCACGGAGGGCGGCGGTGGTGGCCTGGGGTGCATGACGGGTCCCGACGACGACACACTGAGCCCTGTGCCCGATCCGCCGCCCGGGTTCAGCCATTCCGCCTGCCCGCCCGAAGTGCACAGGACCTGCTTCTGTGTCAGATTCATCGCCGCACACACAAGGATGATTGAAGAGTCCACAAAGGTAAGCCTTGGAACCTTGCACCGTAGACAAGCCTCCTTAGGCCCATGTTCGACCCGACGCCTTCGTTCAGCCACTCCGCCTGCCCGAAGAATACAGGACCTGCTTCTGTGTCCGATTCATAGACGCACACACAAGGATGATCGAAGTGTCCACAAAGGTAAGCAGTAGTTGGAACCTTGCACTTTAGACAAGTGGCCATGAGCCGTGCCTGACCCGCCGCTTGGGTACAACCACTCCGCCGAACAGGGCGGTTACTTTCTTTATGACTCCGCCTGCCCGCCCAAAGCGCACAGGACCTGCTTCTACGCCAAGTACAACGCTGCACATACTAGGATGTTAGATCAGTTTAGTTAAACAGTGATTGGAACCGTGCGCCTTAGAAAAGCCGCCTGAGCCACGTGTCCGACCCGCCACCCGGGATCAGCCACTCCGGCTGCCCGCCCGTAGTGCGCCGGACCTACTTCTGTATCAGATTCATCGCCGCTCCCACAAGGATGATGGAAGAGTCTACTAAGGGAAGCAGTAGTTAGAACCTTGCGCGTGGACAAGTCGCTATGAGCACCGTGCCCGACTTTCGACCTTTCGATTCGCTCATCCCAGGTAGTGTTTGTACATTTTGAGTAAATTCACACAAGCCTGTTTAAAAATAAAAACAGATGTCGCATTGTTAACCTACTACTGACAGAATACTACTTACTATTAAAGTAACTAACGTAAGTTTCCCTACAATCAAGACAGTCGCTTATTCTTATGCTAATGTAAGTACATAAATTGCATTGTACCAATAAGAGGTTTTGTATCTTTTATAATTCTTTCATCTATTATTATACAAAATAAATACTAAGTAGATTACCTCTAGGTTGTCTATGTATTGTAAGTGTAAACCTAAGTACTAAATGATCTTAAACACAGCTGTTACAATATTGATCCGTCCGTGATGTAGATTATGCTATAAAGAGAATGCTTTATTGAAAGTCAACCCTACAATTAACTACAAGAGTAGAGAAGTCCCCTATTAAGCCGCTTTTTCTGATTTTCTATTTTGGTATTGTTTTATGAAAGAAAGTACATACATGTCGATACGTACGGTGTCTAAAAGCAATTTCTAATAAATAATATTATTTCAAAAAAGAAAAGTTTACAAATTACGTCACTCGTTGTAATCTGTTGTTACCTACCTACGATAGAACGTGCGCAAAACTTAATTATGTTGACATAATACCATTGAAATTAACACCAGATGTGTTAATAAGTACTTAATGATAGCAACGTCAGCGACATGATTCTAAGAACTTTACATATACTTTTAATATTATGCACATTTTTTTTATTGAAATAATATAACTGTACTTACAGTTTAACACTTATTTGTAAAAATACTCAGTGATCATTTTCTCTGAAAAGAAACGTTAACTTATTAAGAAAATATTTTTGGTATAAACTTACAGAGGCGAAGGACCAGAAATTCGTACCTAGTACCCAAAAAAACTTTTTTCGCAATATTAAATGCGATAAAAACCACAATTCAAACCTGCTGCCATATATTCGAAGAAGTGCTTACAATAATAACAATAACCATTATCGTTGAGCTAAATAAGGGGAAAAGGGCCGCTCTTTCCCATCTTCGCTTCCTACAATTTCCTTTTGTCGGTACAGTCAACAGAAAATCAGACTGTCAAAATATATCCAATTGATATTGTAAATGTAATGTTCTTTAAACCTTAACTTCAGAATGGGAAAAAAAACATTAGACCTTAAACCTACCCTTGAAATAATTGTTCTTGAAATAGAATAGGCTAGTTGCCCCTTTTTGGAAAAAGGTTGTAAATGGTTAATAAATGTTCTATTAGACCGAAAAAAAATGTATTGTATTTTTTTTAAACCTAGAAAGCTACAAATCTTTAATTTTAAAATAGACTTTTCATGGACATACAAAAACGCTGTCGGCCATTTTAATCTATAGATTATCTATGCTATGACGTGAACAGTGGTAAACAAAAACTCGCAAACACGTAGAAAATTACTTTTAACTGAGTTTATAATAAAAAAAAATACGATTTCTAATAAATACCACGAAAAATAAAGTAATTATCATTACTGTATTGTACGAGAATATAAAAACACATCCTTGAAGACTCCAGGAAAGTTGTGGATTAAAGTGCCGAAAGAAATTAACCTACGCAACTTTATTACACTTATTCATATGTTGTATCAGTTTTATGTTTATTACTACATTGTAATACGTTTCTCTGCTCCGCAGAGCAGAAATTGGGGTTTAGTGCAACAAATTCACCAACCATCAATGCGTCAATTCTTGGCAGATTTGTGCTTTCTGCTTTCACAAAGCCGGCATCCATAATTAGTTTTGTCAAAAAAAACTAAGTTAACTGATTTTTTTTTCCTAAAGTTAAAAGTGTTTTAAGATAAATTTAGTCACACGAAAGAATCCACCTACAGTAACACGCGAATGACATTTAGTTGTTTACCACAAGAGACGTCAAAATCATGGCGGATGTGGCGAACAGCGTTTTTAGTGTTTAAAAAATATAGACTAAAAATTTTTTTTAAATTAAATTTCTACAGCAATCTTCTGCTTTTATGAAGTGAAATCGATATATTAAGGTTCCTTAGACTAAATACTTTAAGAAATAAACATTTATTTAATACAATTCGACATGAGTAAACTAGCCTATTGATATTGCTGGGAATCGCTGTCTCGCTAGTAAATTACATTATTATATTTGGGGTTACATCGGGTAGAATAGAAAAGAATATATTTTATAAACCCTCATTTACACATTTATAGATACAAATTCAAAAAACTCAGGGCTAACCAGGACCCTGCCTCAGCATTAGTTGATGCGACATTATGTCGCACCTGCGCTGTTATTCTGGCAGGGCCTGTTTAGTGACATAAAAAAAGACAATCATGTAAAAAAAATCATCACTTGAAAATTCTTTCAAGTATGGTAAACCTTTGTAACATTATAGATATTAACGGGATTGTTACCATGTACCTTGTTTTTTATGAGTCTCCGATATTTCGGCACTGTTGCAAGCGCCATGATCACGGAGTTACTGTGTTACTCCATAACTGTGTTACTCCGTGATCATGGCGCTTGCAACAGTGCCGAAATATCGGAGACTCATAAAAAACAAGGTACGCGTACATGGTAACAATCCCGTTAATATCTATAATGTTAGTGACCATGAAAGTTTAAAACAATAAACCTTTGTAACAATAAAGTAACAATAAACAAAAAAAAGTCAGTAAAAAGAAACAGCAAAACACAACAGCTTATCATTAACAAACAGCAAGCAAAGCAACGCGAAACAAAGCGAAGCAATTCGAACTTTTAATCTGAACATATAATAAAAAACTTGGGTAAAATTGTACTTCCAGAGCTCAAGAGGTGATACTCGAACTTTTTTGTAGAAAAGGTATAAGAATATTTTTTTTCTGGCGCTTCGCCGGCCGCTGCCGCGGCACGCGCGTTATGGTCACAACACTAACCTAAACCAACTTAGTATGAAGTATCACCAGTTGGGACCTGCAAGTACAGTTTAGCCAACACTTGGTTATGTGAATTTCTTTATTCCAATAGTGATAAACCGCAACTATTTTAAAGAATCATTTAACGTTCGGGGTATGAGCCCTAGGCTCACTGCTTCGATTTCCAATAGGGATAAATATTAGTTTCATAACTTTGATCAACGTGCAGAGCTTTCTCGCGCCACCGCACTGCATGCGATGCGCGTGCCCCGCGTTGTGTTCGTCAATGGGTTCTCGATAAAATCATAGCTAAATCACAGAACTACCTCCATAACTCATGCAGTTTGGTAAAGTAAATAAGTAAGTTACTAAAATTAATAAGGACACTTAGGTATATTGTTTCAAACGCTCACTAACATTACTGTTATCAGCGGGATGTCCCCGATATTTCGGGGCTGTTGCAAGCGCAAGTTACTTCGTGATCATGGCGCTTGCAACAATGACGAAATATCGGGGACTCACAAAAAACAAGGTACAAACCCGATAGCAACCCTGCTAATCTATAAGGACCCTTACTCTAAGAGGGTCGAGTAAATAGATAACATAAAAGATATAATCCAAAGAGATCTATCACTGATGCAGGTAAAAGAAGATTGGAAGTACGTGGCGATGGTGCTGGACCGGCTGTTCCTATGGATCTTCACGCTGGCGGTGCTGGTGGGCACGGCGGGCATCATCCTGCAGGCGCCCACGCTGTACGACGACCGCGTGCCCATCGACAAGCACTTCAACCAGTACGCCACCTCGTCGCTGGTGCGGTGCCCACCGCCCAACTAAACTACCGATTATATTAAACTGTGACGCGTTCAGACCGAGTGTTCAGACCAACAAAGTACATTGTGCTGATACTACGTTGCATCGGGTCGTGTCGTGCCTGGAATACTTAGGTACGTTGTGCATCATAGATTTCCACTACACGAATAACGACGTCGGTCGCATAGCAAAACGATACCACTCGTAGCCCGACGCAACGTCGTATCGTGATTATGTATAAGAGCCCACATCCGCTTTGCCGTACCCTGGCTTTAACGGTGTAAAATGTTTGTGGAGTTTTAAATATAGAATCGGCACGTTCTTATTCAAACCTTTAAAACTACGCGAACACTTTGCATGTAGCAGTACATACACGCTCGAATTCGCGGTAGAAGGGAAACCATACTTCGGTGTTATACTGACCCTATAACCACTCGGAGTAGTATAAACATAAACGAGGCTCCGAATCTCAGGTAACACGAACACTGCTCACGCCCGCCACGGTCTAGTATAGTTCATCCTTAGTACCGCACACCACCCATCCGTCGCGGTATGAGAACATGGCATTTATATAATAGAAACCCCAATTTGAAACTACAAAACCTAACTGAATTGAAATTGAATTCAAAATATTTTGAATACTGCAATGAGTTTCTTATTTAGGTACCGAAGCTTGTGTAAAGCCATGTAGAGCTCATCATTGACAAGATAACGTTCCCCTCTTAAGGATGTGATGGATAAGTTTAATTAATAAAATAATATGTATATGACGAAGAAAACCTTCAAAATTGCGTTAAAATTAGGTGTTTTCACAACTTTTTGAACTGAAATTCACACACACCTTGGTGTATTTAGCCAACCGAGTTAACATAGGTAATAGTAGCATTTTCTGAAGGAATTCGATTCCTGTTGCAAGCTTAAAGTTGTTTAGTATTTTAGGTTTGCATACGTGTTCAAGAGACCAAAATACCACATAATATGTTTATTTGGCGGGATGTATATCCAATGGCTTATTGATTAATAATAGCCGCACCAAACGAACAATGCAATGAATATGAGAGCAATAAATTATTTTTACTGCTATGTTTAGGATAATTTATCGCTTTCACCGGATAATTGTTTCTGCTCAGTAAAAAATTCAATTCTTTTATAGTAAATCATAACTTTTATTTTTGTATTTAAACTTTTATTACTCTTGTGTGGTTAGGTATAGGTATAATAAGGAAGGAAGGTAATAAAGTCGGGGTTTTATATATAAGTGCAGTTCTTATACAGCAATACCATTCACGTAATTGTGTTGCCCTGGTTTATGGCCTCTCGAAAATATAGAATACACTGAAAATAATCATGATAATACTAGGGAAGTATATCGGTGTTTTGCACTTTACGAAACATTTGTGCACACAAATTTGATTTATGACTCCTACAAATGAATGAGCTGATGAAATATTCTTTCAAATTGAATCAAACTAACTTTAGGTAAGCGGATGGATTGAGGATGGATGCTTCAAGTTTCAGCATTTCAATTTTTTTTGGTGGATAATCATAATTTGGCATTACAGCCAACCTAATACCATGGTAAATAAAAGATAATAACCAAAGCCAATCAGGCATCTTTTGATTAGCTCTTGTCTTGTAGATGTTTTTCGTGTATAAAATATTTAATTTTTCGTGCAATAAAAAAACTATTGCTGAAGTTAAATGATTCAAGTCACTTTTGGGATAGCTAGTTTATAGTTTCAATCAATAAAAAAAATCTATTTGGGCCAGTGTTAATATCGGAGAATTCACCCTCAGTATCCATTCGAAAAAGCAACATATTTTACCCGAGTTAATATGCAGTACGGAAACGATGAAGATGCAATTTAAACAAGTAGGTTTAATATCCCTTCTTTTACATTAAGAGAGATCCTTATCTGTGGGCATCACATTTTCGTGTAAACATTTAGTGTTAGGTACGTGGTAATTCATATTCTATGCAACGGTTACCTCAGAAACTTATTTTAAATTATTGTTTTATTTTTAATAAAACGTATGATAAACCTACCTCGTTAAATTGCAATAACTAGTAAAAGTAGATAAAAATTATACTTATGTTTTAGGTATGTTTTCTTTTGAATGCTGCCTCGCTAGAGGTGTGGTTTACTTAATGCTGTTTGATAAATAAATTGTATGTTTTTTGACGCGAGCTTAGACCTTCCTCGACGGGTTGGTGCGGGCGGGCTCGTTACGTGTTCGTGTCTGTGCCGATTCCGTACAGATTCTTTATCGAGTGCATGTAATTAAATAATAGCTTCCGCACTGAGTCGTTTCGGTACAGATTCTTTTCTGACCGGATACTCAGCTCTCTGTACCGAGTGCTAACGAACCATTTGTCTCGTCCCGTCACTAGCGCAAAACAAAACCGTAGCAAACGAAACGATACCGCACCAAAACGGAGCCGATCAAAACGTGGTTCTCGGTAAAGAATATGTACAGATTCGGTACAGAAACGAAAACGAAACGAGCACGCACCGACCTGATGACGAAGACCTAGATGAAAATCATTTCTTTCCATAAAATTGGCATAATATTTGTGAATCCAACACAACACAACGCATCGGGGATTTTCACGGTGCGTTGTTTGTTACACCGTACAAATCTGCGTTGCAGCTACGACGCACAGACGTTCAGCCGAATGTGCTTATCAGCTGCTTCTAATGCCGTAATCGCAATGTGACCTATAGCTTCAACGGGTGGATATTACTTTTTAGGTCAAACGTAATGTTATATTATAAAAGAATATTGACAGAAAACCTTAGCGTTTTGAAAAAGGTGACCGTCGCATCAATGACACACAACGCACACCCGTCCCAACCGTCACGTGTTCTATTCCACGACACATAGTCGAGGCCGTGGCAGTACCTACAATCTGACATTTGCAGCGCCTTTATTAAGTCGCAATAAGAGCGACTTTCGTCCTGGAATAATTGTATACACTGTCATGATCTCGACTGTACTATAATAGTTATACTTAGTCTACACTTAAGAACTATTTCTCATATCTCTTCTTACACTCTTGCACTAAATACTAATCTTAATTATAATCGAAGTTGCATAATTTCCCCCCTGAAACTTTCCAAACAGGTATCCCAACATAATAATTGTGACAATAAATCATAAGCAATGAGCGTTTGTGTTATTTTAAGCTAAATCAGTATTGTGATTTGTAGTCAGCGTCTGAATGTACTCGTACTTCGTCACGTGCGTAAGCGGAAAAGGACCAAATGCTGTCTTCTTCGATGACAAGGGTCCTCGTTATGAAAAATAATAGCCTACGAAAAACACGTGAAAAATCTTATTTCATAACTACGCAACATTGTAAACCTTTCTAAAGACAAAAATGCAATGTTCAAATAATAACACTATACTAGATAACAAATTAACTTCCTAGTAAATTGATGACTGTGAAACCCTATGAATGTAGGGTTACCATTCTTGCAGATTAGGTCGGACTAAGTTCTTTCTTTGTTTAATTTGTCCGAATTTTCAGCTTTCACTTTAAAACATGCTTTTTTGCTGCGAGCTGAATGCTCTCTTGCTAAAGGTCATTGAATGAATGATTAATAACATTCAATGTAGACGTAAAGCCTTATCTTTACGCACCTAAGTAAGTAGGTATGTCTTTTACAAACAAATTCTATCTATTAGTATACCTTAAAATACAAAGGGAATCATTTCAGACCTGGATTGCGAAAGATATTGAATTCAACCATCGGAAACTAGGCTACCTTCACTTAACAGACAACAGTTTTGATTCGGTTATTTTTATCTCCTCAACGCTAATAGTAAACAATAAAAATAGGACTAACTACAATTTATCATGTTAATTATTTTCCAAAGTATTGTAATAAATTTTCGCTCCATTATCTCTTTTGGTGGTGAATCTATGCGCTAATGGATTGCTCATAATGATTATATTAATATACATTAAAACTTCAGTTAACAGTGAATCCGCCACTATTATTTTAACCTAAATCTGCAAGTATAACTACAAAAATAAATTACTTTCTCACCTCCTAAGTTTCAAACTCAAGCTAATAATAGTACATAGAAAGACAAATTGGATAATATTATTTTATAAACTAAGAACAGATAATAAATAACCAACTGAAAAAAAACTAAAGCTAAATTATTTATAGTTCGATAGTAATAAATTAATTAGTTAATATTAGAGATAAGAAAACGAACGAAACACCACCAAATGAATATTGTCTGTGTTCAACAACAATTTAGCCGATATGTAGAGTTGTAGAAAAATAGCATGATTACAATACCTACCTACTTAAGCTCCTATTAATACAAAATACGTAACATCCTATGTGCACCTCGCTTCCTCTCTTAGAAACGCGTCTAATTTTATTTTTGTGGCGACGTAATTAATGTTAGCGCTTAAATAGGCATCGAAGTCAGGTCTAATCTAGTTTAGGCAATAGCCTAATAATAAGGTCTAATCTAGCCTACCTATCTTCAAATCTAGACATAATGAGGATTTTCTGGAATGTCGGGCGCCAGGTGGCAGCACTGAGCCGAGAGGTATACTCATCCGTCACATCACGTATGTCGTCATAGTCTATAGATCAATTCAAATGCTCGTTCGATCCAAAAACTTTATACAAAAGACGCTCATGTCACAGTAGCGCCAACTGGTGACGTAAATTTTCCTAAACACCCTCATTACATTATGTCGTCTAGATAAATAAATTAACACCTTTACTCTTTTAAACGACTCTACTAGTTATGTTTTGTCGTAGAATAGAACATGTACGCTAAAATGAAGATATCGATTTTATAATTAGTAATATATATATATATAAGAAATCATAAAATTCGAAACCAATGTAATAGTAATAAATAAATATAAAATATACATATACAGTTTTTATGAAAACCGTTGGCTTCGAAATATTATGTTTGTTAAAAACTTTATGAAGATTTTACAATCCCAGTGTAAACAATTATCCTTATGATAATAAGTACAACATAAAGATTTACTTTAAGTGATGATTGCTCAATTTTAAGAATGAGTGTCTATTTCGCTACTGGAGTTTTCAATATAACAAATAAATCATATTTGTTTTATTTTATTTCGTAAAATTAAAATGGGTCATCAGTTCAGAGAAACATTATAATTATATTAAATCTTATCAATACAAAATTGGACATTGCTTTTTTACTTATTCACATCAGTTTCCTGAATTTGCATATTATATTAAAATTACTTACATGTAAATAAAAATGTTCACAACAACACCATTTTCGTGTAATACTATGATCAGGAATTGAAAATGAAATTGAAATGTTTAATAAGTATTTGATGAAGCAATGATTAATAAAAACACAATTTTAAAAACGCATTTGTACAAAAATAAATTATGAATATAAACACTTAACCGTAAAGGCTTTTTGAGTACATTTGTAAATTGAAGAAATTACCTTTACCAATGAAGTGACAGTATGAAATGCCTTTCAAGCCGACCCAAGCCGACTAGCGAACGTATTGGTGCATAGTAAACCCTACTAAGTAATAAATATAAATGGACTAATCTAGTAAAAATATAAAAATTAAGCACGTTGGACTGCTCGCGGTAGAGTAGCGCAGCTCAATTGTAGAAATGTAAGTTTGTAATTACCTATTTATATTGTTAATAAAACCGTTATACATAGAAAAACTTGTTTTTTTTTCCTTTTACTATCTGTTGTCAAAGTAAATCCATTTTCACACTCAAATAGAAAACAAGACGTGCATTAAATGTAATAATTAGAGGTAGGGGTCGTCCCACGTTGGGCGCCAATATTTATTTTATGAAAGAAGTTGCTCTCGGTGGTTGTTAATATAAAAGATAGTCACAATCTTGTGACGAAATTGTGATAGAAGGTTTATTAACTAGGTGAGAGCGAAGTAAGACGGAGTGAAGGTTTTTTACATGTTTCCAATTCTTAAGAGTGCCAACAAAGAAGAACGCCCTTTGTTTTAATTATTTAGAAAAAAAGTAATTTTGATCGATATCCTTATGATTTCATACAATTTAAATTGTTATTATAAGTGTATTGGATTTAGCCGTTTAAAAGTCTTACTTAAGTGATTTTTACGAAAGGTAGACTACCCAAACAGATTTCAATTCATTATATTAGTTTTTGTATTTCATACAAAAGGACATTGTTCTGCGTCCATACATAGTTAGCCTAAGAACCAACAATCATGAAATATTATTTTCTAGGTTCGAAATCGCAAGAAAATTACTGTAAAAACAAAGATTATTGACGGACACTTCTGAGAACTTGAGTTATTAGGAAAACTAAATTTTTTTTGAGGTTATGTTTAATATTAAATGAAACATAGGTCAACCTATGAACTTAGTATAAACTCAGTATGAAGTGAATTAATATTACTACTAATTCATTTTATTCGGTGCGTCTTTAAGAAAAACTATTAGGAAAAACTTGGTTAGGTAGGAATCATGAATAAAATAAAAACTGTAGCTTTGCTTCTCATTTATTGACTATTTTTCACATAATTGTATCATATTGTTTATTGTATTTATTTGTATACCACATGTATATTGTGTAAATATGCAGCGTGAATGTGTATTAGGTGCTCTTGAATAATTTGGCAGTATGATCCTCTCAGGATGTTGTGGCACAGGTTCACTAGCACTTGGTAATAAAGTCTAAGTCTGCTCTTTGGTAACATCGATGGCATATTAGATAGAAATAGTTAAATTAAAAGAAAAACAATCGCAAATAAACACACACAACAGGTAATCCGAAACGAGAATGCACGAATGCCACATATTACTACGAATGCAAACTGCCTGCACCACAACCACAGAGAATCGAGTTTTATGCCGGCCCTTCACTTGAAAGAGTGTTTTGTTTGCAGCGCTGTCATAGATTACATAAAATGGTATTTATTGTCTCAGATAATTTTTTAACTTTTTAATTTAGCTTACTTAACTGGAAGTGTCCGTCACAATCTAAATACTGATAATTTTCGCAAAAAATATACTAAGAATTATCATAAATGCCATATTGGTGTTGGTTCGTAGGCCAATTTTAACATTGTCCTTTTGAAATGGACGAAGGAACATATTGGGGTACTATACGAAAGATCTACTACGTCTTCCTACATAGGACATTTTCTATTGATGTTTTTTTTTATTTTGCTTAAGGATAGCGAGAAATTACAAAAAAAAGACTGAAGAAAGAGGAAAATGGGCAGAAGCTCTGTAGACGCGTTCTAAAACGGTTATTTTAACTTTCCCACTCTATAAAGATTTGAAGAGGTAATGCAAAAGAAGAAAAAACCATAGAAGTCAAAAATAAAAGGACGGATATCCGAAAAGGCTATTAAAAAATCATTACCACCATCTTACTTGATCTATGGGGTAAGATGGGGAGATAAAACTTTTCTTACTTTTCTCAATATACGACTGACTAGTATAATAACCTAATGTGACCAAGAGTCTGAAGATATTGTCGAATAGTTTAATATGCAATGCTGATTTGGGGACCTTTCGAATTTTATTTTAAAATATCTATCTATTGTAATGAGTTATTGCTATTGAACATAAGGTTTAAGTAACATAAGATGATAAATTAAAAGACAATAATGATTTGCTTAAGTATGTATAATTTATTTTATTGTCATGTTTTCTTAGGCGTCTTACTATTACAAATAAACAAAAAAAACTTAAATTTGAGTGGTAATAATAGTGAAATGAAGCAAACTATATTTGCTACACCACTATCAAAAACTAAAGAAATCAGAGCTGTCAAATACACTAACGCCAATATCTTCAGATACTTTAAATAATTTTGACGTAATCAACTCATCTTTCTTACTTTCTTCTATAAGCCGTTTAGCTTCTAACAACGCTGCTTGGCTAGGCAAATCGTCATTAGGAATTAATAGATCTGAAAAATCACCCGGCAGATTGGTATTCACATTGCCATCAGTTTTATCGTCAGTGACACCTTTGTTGTTAGTAATTTCAGGTTTCTTGTCTGTTATTTGTAATAAACTACTGCTGTCCGTAGCAGAAATATCCTTTTTAGTTGCTTTCATTATCCTTTTCGCCACATCTTTGAATGTTAATGGAATTTTATTAATAACGCTCTCCTCTTTGAATTTTTTCTCATTATTATTGCTACTTTTTGTGCTAAGTGTATCCACTATGGTGTCGAATATATCCGGTTTTCCATCTTTTTCTTTCATCTTCTTAAACTGATCCTTAATTAATTTGTAAATTTTTTCTGGATCTTGTGGAATTAATTCATCATTATCGTTTTTAGAACTTAAAACGGTTAAGATTTCACGAAGCGTGTGCCGTACTTCTAAAGTATCACGGGCATTAGTATGAGTTGATTCAATATCATGAAGTGTTTTTATATCTTGCCAAATATTATCTACAGTAGGGTGGATGTAATCGGTTTCCACTCTACTTAAAGCTTTCTTGACATCTTTCGTTAGGTTATTAAGTTCACCGTGTAACACCATTCCAATTTCTGATAGTCGATCAGTTTCATTTTTTACATTTAAGATTTTCGTATGTGTATCATGATGTTTATCTTCAATGACTAACATTTTTTCCTTAACGTTTTTAACCGAATCACTTATTCCTTGAGATAAAGTTTCTAAAATCGGTTTACTGTTAGATCCTCTCGGATAACTTGAACGTGAAGTCGGGAGTACGGGTGGTGTAGGTGAATATTTTTCGATGCTTTCTTTAACTGAATCTGGTTTTGTATTTACCAGACCTCTGCATCTGACATCATAATCGGAAGATTCATAGTTTACACCTAATGCTAATACTTGTTTTACTGCCAAAACAGTACAGTCTATACTTTCTTCCACATCTGTGACAACATCGGTGAATAGTTTTCCAACACTATTTTCGACTGATGCAAATACGCCTTGAAAGTCATCAAAGAACCATGCAACCGTCTGGAAGAAATAATTCTATGTTATCCAAATTATAATGATATTGTACAATTTTAAGTTTTTTTTTTAGAAAAAATATTAAATTTAATCCTGGTGCCGCACCGTAGATAAGATAAGTCTGGACTTTTCTATTCTTTTCAGTCGAAGACTAACGAAACACTACCGCTATCTTTAGGGAGTTTTCATATAAACTTTAAACCATACATATCAAACATTCCTGAACCCCGTAAAAGATACATCATATATGCTTAATTAAGTCATATTTAAATAACTAAATAATATTAATATTATTTGTTATTTAAAAAATATATATTGGTGCCTATAGTAACATAGCGTTATCTATCAAACAGAAGACTGCTACTTGTCTACGGCCTCAGACCAGTCTATATACTATTTGTACACTATTTATATACTCAGATCAGTCTATATACTCTTTGTATACTAAAATTAAAAATAATTATAAAAAGATTTCTTAATTGGTACACTTTAAATAGGGTCTTATTTTCGCAATCATAGTTTTGTCATGTCTATGTAATTCAAATATTTTAAATTCACTTACCCGAGAAAAAATGGTGCAGAGAAGTAACGTCGTTATTTTCATTTTTTTAAACTAGTAAGTACCTATACACTATTAAGTCCAAACAAAAGTGTTTAATTTTTTTCTTATTGAAACACGAGCTGTAGGCAGATGATGCTTGCGACTAATTCAAACTACCTTATTGTCTTTAATGTTCACCATTACCTGCTTCTGAAAGTTTAATTTACGCTTGTTTGCTTTACAATGTACACAATACTACTGCGACTACGCAGTATTATTGTGTAGTTATAATATAGCATCTGTGTTAATGTTGACTATTGTACTAATATTAATAAAATAATTCATGCCTTTGTAAAAACCTAGTCCGTAATTCCGTTGACAACGAAGGTAAATATTAAAATCTATAGTAGTATAGCCACGCATTACTATATTAAATTATCCTAAAACACGGACTTTAAAAACCGGCCAAGTTGACCATGTGCTAGTCGGACTCGCTCACGGAGGGTTCCGTATTCCGTACCATTATCTATACAGCATTAGACTCTATATTATAAAATCGAGCAAAAAACGACAGAAATGACGATTTTTTCACTTATATTGTTTTAAACTTTCATGGTCACTAACATTATAGTAATAAAAGTCATTTACGGGATTGTTACCATATACCTTGTTGGAAACTCGCTAAAAACAAGCTACATGGTAACAATCCCGTAAATAATTTATGTTTCACTTATTTTTCTTCGACTAGATCTTATGTTATTTCCGATCCACTCTCATAATTTTCTTAGCTTACTTCTCCTTAATCCTGCTTTCTCTCAATGCTTCTCTTTCAACCTTGCATCCCCTACGTTCCGTTCTCTCTCTCTCTCTCTTTTATCTTAAAAAGGTGGCAAACAAGCATATAGCCCGCCTGATGTTAAGCGACCACCATAGTCTACTAGACTATTTGTATATCCGTGGATGCTGATTTCAGGCTATTATAAAGATATTTTAAGTTCATAATAGCCTAGTTGACTCATGTCAAATTGCACTGCACAAATGTTTATTTCTAATAATTTTTGTTATGAGGAACCTCGATTTCACTTCATAAAATTAGCGTCAACAAGTTAGTAAATGTAAACAACTAAACATCATTGTTGTGTTACTGTGGTGTCTTTCGGACTAAAATATATCTTAAAAAAAACTTACATCTTGTAGAAAAAATTCCGTTAATTAGTTTTGTTGACTAAATTTATGCTGGACGCAGAAACGCAGAAAAAGAAAGTGATAACAAAAGGGTTTTCGATGAAAAGGTTCTCGAGTACTAAGCAAGTCAAACTAAATTTAAAAAAAACGTGGTTTGTATCGCACATCACAGGTTAGTACTTTATTCTTTAATTACATCATTATTCACTTATTTTATTAAAATACTTTATGCCAGCTAACATATCGGGTTTCTATTTAATTGATATTATTCTACGTTTGTGAATTATGACATAATAAAGGTAATGTTTTTTTCTTTTTAGGTTATGCAACAAATTAAGGAGAGTAGGGTGACTACGCAAATGAAATCCATGGACTATTACTGGCTGTCAAAATATGACATTTTGGAAAGTGCGGATGAGAATCAATGCCGTACGAAGAGATACTTAGCCATGTTTCAAAAACAAAACACTTTGTACTTCAAAGTGTCACCAAAGTTTGTCTACGCCAACAAATGACTTGATTAAATTTTTTGTAGAAAAGATCTCTTTTAACAGAGTATTTTTCTGGCGCTTCGCCGGCCGCTGCCGCAGTACGCTCGCTAGTATTACCGTTTGGGCCCTAGAAGAACAGTTTAGCCACTATACCTTCTTATTTCTAAATGTTTGTTAGTTTTCTAAATATAAATGTGTAACTTCTTGACATGTTTGATGATTTAATTTTGAAAAAGTTTTTTATGACACAAACAAATTTAATAAATTAAGATTTAAATTTGTTTGTGTCATTCGGACTTAAATAAACAAGTTCTTAACATATTCTGAATTTTATTAAATATTTTATGGACACCCTAATTATACGATCCGGCCAAATGTGGATGACAAAATTGTTAATTGTTGACGATTTAATGATCTGATCAAATTAAGTTGTCCACATCATGAAATGAGACCATTTCATGAAATTCTCGAGCATTTCATGAAGTGAGCAAATCTACGATATGGCCACGACATATACATCACTCACGCCGTTGCGTAGCTTGACTCAACCTCTGTGGAGCCCTGGAACCTAATTCACGTAGGTACGAAAACACAACATCGTCAAAGGTGTGTTATTTAGTGGTCTTCTGTTAGATGGAGGTTACTTCCCCAGACAGGCGCTCCAATTCGAGTGAATCTACTATGCCCTACCTCTCTTTTATTACTAATCCTCCATCCCCTGGCAGTATCATTAGCAGCCTTGAACCTAGAATGGTAGTTTTTCTTACCAACTCTCATTAAATAAAACTACCGAAACAGCTAGCTCAAGCAATAAAGTCAAATAACAAAATTTTGCCGCACTCAAGCTTTTTTACAGATGTTAGGCTAGGTCTTAAGAAGCTTAATTTAAAAATCGGAGAATGTAGGGTGGTCACAATTGGACGTCATAATGGAAAACGCGTTTATCGCTATATCTTCGAAATTATTGACTTTACGGAAAACATTGTAGGCTGCTTTTTTGTTTATTACTTTTATGTCTACAACTTTTAGTTGTAACTCTTACCTTTTTTCAGTTATTATTGTTTATTTGAACACGTTTGTAGTTTTTCCTTTATAAACCCTTAAAAATGCCATTAATTGATAAAATAAAAGTTATTCGTCATTAAATTCCTCTATAACTTTTGTTTACAACTTATTTTTTATTAATTAATTATTTTAAAGTCGTAAACGTACGAATGTTACGACCGATTTATCAACCAAAAGTACACACATCAAAAAAGGTTGCGAACACTTTGAAAAATGGATTGTTTTTTGTGTTACAGAAGACTTTTTTGTAATTTCTTTTCTGATAAGATTCTAAATTTTAAAATTAGAATTAGAACCTAAAACAGTAAAATAATTCAATTGTTTTTCATTTAAAAAGACATGCAATCCAAGCTGACACTCATTCAGAAATCTGATAGTCAATATTAAAAAATGCCACGAGGATTATCAGATGTTTTACGAGCCAGAATTGTTATTTTGAGGGAAGAAGGCTATTCTACGAGAGAAATAACACACATATCCCAATCCTGTGTAGTAACCACGGCATGGGTAATTTAGCTAATCGACCTCGCAGCGGTCGCCCAACTGTTTTGACAGCTGCTCAGAAGCGCTACATCATGTTGTTGGTAGCCCGCGACCCAAAAATAAACGCCACTAAATTGAAAGCAGAAATACGGGCCGCCTCCGGACTTGAAGTAACCACTCAGACTATTCGGAATTGCTTACACAAGGCTGGATTACGAGCACGGAGGTCTTGGCGAGCACCTTTGAATTCACGGGAACGTCAGCGACGGAGATTACAGTGGGCCTAGCCCGGCAAAACGAAGAAGACGAAGAGGAAAACATTTGGCAAAACTGCCACTTCGTTGACGAATCGCGAATCGTGTCCGTGGAGAAGACCTGGAGACTCTGAAATGCAAAGAACGGCCACTGCAACGGTTCAGCAAGGCAGGAAATCAGTGTCCTTTTGGGGTGGTATTATGATTGGGGCTAGAACGCCTTTAATCCCTTATCAAGGCTTCATGAAGGCAGACAGATACAAAACAGTCGCTATTGATGGAATCGTCAGACCTTTCCGAGTAAACCATGGGCACCAATTTGTATTTGGTTCACGCTAATGCGCCCGCACATCGAGCTCAACGAGTCAAGGCTGCTGCAAAGTTCTATTACAATCGCCTTAGGATTGAATAATTTTTTATACTAAAAAATAAAAATAGTTTTATTTTTAATTCCAGAAAGTGTATTTTTAAATAAAAAAAGATATAACGTAAACATTTTGATTAACTTGATTAAGTTAAATTTTCAAAATATATCAGCTTTTGCAAGTGATCTCAAACTGTTTTTGGTGTATGTAACGCAAACATAGCTTCTTTGGCTCCTACGGAAGATGCAACCCGTAAACCCTTTATTACCTTAGATTAAAACAAAAAGGGAAAATACGGTACGCTCATACTAGCATCAAATAAAATATGGTCCTCAACAACACAAGCAACTGACACACACGCCCACGTCTGTAAATAACATTCAATTGAGCGAGCGAGTCAGAACTGTACGCTTCTTATCGTCGTCTCGGTCGTCTCGGGGAGTCCTTAGACTTCTCGTCTTTATGGAGGCATCGGTTGCGCGCTCTGCCTAATGCAGAGTGGTCGTAGGGTTCCACTATCCCCCTCCGTCTTCACCACCGCCCTCGGCGCGGTCTAGCCCACCGGGTGAGACCCGTGTGGGAGGTCCGGTGAACGACCAGCGAGCAGGCGGTGGACT